CTCTCTCTCTCTCTCTCTCTCTCTCTCTCTCTGTCTCTCTCTCTCTCTCGTTCACTTTTATTCCGTACGAACAGTCTTTGTTGCACGTCACAAAGGATAAAACAGCTCGTAAACTTCCTGAGTACCGGAGCCTAGTTAGACGCGCTGTTTCTAAAGACAGCTGATGTTGAGACATGGGTCAATGTGTACGGTGGAATCAGGAGCTCGACAATTTTTTTGTCATATTATTGAGTTAACGATATCATCCTGTCTTTTACAGATTGTTCATTTGCTTTGGTTTTTATGAACAAAATACTATTGATCTTAAAAAGAAGAAGAGATGTTTGCGGATGAAGCAGTTATGGGTCGTCGCCTGTTAGAGAGAAAAATTAGCACGAAAATGGTCGCCAAAACTTGGTGACTTTCAAAGTTTGAGAGTCCTTGGAAACTGCTAATTTACATTTTGTGTGCCTTTGATCAACACTTTTTCAGTAAAATCCTTGCAGGAATTTTTTTTTTAATGGACTTAAAATGTGTTGTGTCGAATTTAATAGGAAAATTCTTAATAAGTTCCATAAAAATTGTCGTGGGTGAAAAAATTTCGATTTCTTCGATTTCATTGTTTTGACGAGTGCCTGATTTCACCACAATGATACACACACACACACACACACACACACACACACACACACACACACACACATGAAGCGCGCGCGTTTATACGGAGATGGTAAACATATACCAAGTACGGCTACCTAACCTTTATGACTCATCTTGTCTTCACTTTTGGTTGGTCATTTGTAATAATCTACTCGTTTACCTCGTACAAGGTGATTAGCTAAACCTCTGCATTAGATACTACAGCCCAGCTGAAAGATGGAGATATTCCTCCAGAGTTGCCTCAAGCACGAGTCGAATTCATTTCTTCATGCAAAGCGAAGAACCTAACTTTTACACCATTATACATCTGGCACCGGCAGTTTCTTTCGGTCTAAGTGAAAATAGATGCCAGGCTTACCGTGTTCTTTAGCGTGATCGTGAAATTTAGAATCCACAGTAAAATGAACATAGTGTGAAACGTATTTTAATTAACCTCACCATGTCATGCCCAAGTTGGCCCATGAAAACCTTTGGGTCTCTAATAATAATAATAATAATAGATAGCATTTGTATAGCGCAAATCCCCGCTCAACAGTAGGCTCTATGCACTTTACACTATATTATTACCCCAGCAGACCATAGAACACTCCGAAACATTCTCAGCTTCCCTGGAAGCATACAGTGCAAGCAGCTGATTAAGCGCTCAAACACTAACATACTGACAAGATCTTTCGCTGTCTATAGCCGGGTACCCATTCCCACCTGGGTGAAGTGAGGAAAATTCGTGTAAAGTGCCTTTCCCAAGGACACAACGTCGGGTCCCTGACGGGATTCGAACCCTCGACCTTACGGTTGCGAGTCCGAGAGCCTAACCACTAGGCCACCGACGCCACAAAAGAGACGAAGTTATTTTTAATGAAATTACGTATTAGACTTACCTACCTTCCTGACACAGAGATACATACTGCAGTTAGATGGAGAAAAAACAACAACTTTTGTGTCGGAAGCGATACCATCCTAATAATCCAGTACACCCTACTGGTGCCCAGACTTTGGAGAGATTCGATGGAAATAGTTTAAGTACATTGATTAACTTGAAGAGTTTGTTCTCCATCGTTGATCCCAGCTAAATTTTCGGTTGTTGTTTTTTTTAAAATACATAATGTACCATTAGACTTATCCCCAATGTGTAAATAGTGATATTTTAAAAGCGTAAATTACTGTGTTTATCACTGATTTTTTACCGTGAATTTTTATCTTTTCAATTATTCTGACTTTGCAAAGTAGCTTTCAAAAAAACCGAGCCGTACTGTGAATGAACGTTGAAACAACAAACGAGACCCATCGCACTCCCACATGACCTTCTACTGTTGCGAGCGCCATAAAAGTCTACATAAACTGAAACTGACAGTATTTTATCTATCTAATTATGGCTTTTGATTCATCTTCCACCACCCTCCCCCCCCCTCTTTTTCTTAATAATTCTTCCCCTCCAACGTCACCCCCTAATCGTCCTCCACTCCCTTGAATTCTATGCAATAAGATCGCGCCTTCTGAATTCCCCAACCTATTACTATCACCACCTGTGTTAATGGTCGCCTGTTGCTCATTTATTGCTATTTCTGTGCAGCCTGTTCCCACCGCAAGTATTCCAATAATTATCGTACCTCTCAAGAGCTGCTGTGACACAAGTTTTTACGCTTGTTTCAACAGTGTGCTTATATAAGGGGTGGGGACAAAAGTGAAATTAAATGTATGTTTTGTTTCAATTATTTGTTGGCTTCGTTTGCCTGATTTGATACAGGCGAGAGTGGTTCGTAGACTTTGCTTTGTGCCTTTTTCTAGAATGTATTATTGAGGAACGTCATTGCCATTGCCATTTACAGTTTCATACGCTAATCATAAGACACTGTGTGTGTGTGTGTGTGTGTGTGTGTGTGTGTGTGTGTGTGTGTGTGTGTGTGTGTGTGTGTGTGTGTGTGTGTGTGTGTGTGAGAGAGAGAGAGAGAGAGAGAGAGAGAGAGAGAGAGAGGGGGGAGGGAGAGTAGGGGGGGGGGGATACAGAGAGGGCTCTCAAACTCTTTTTTTTAAAACTGAAACCATACATCATTCAATAATACAGCTAATAATTCACTTATTGTAAATGTAGTTTATATTCAAC